CGGCCATCACCATCATCTAGAACTTCGTTTACCCAAAAGAAACCCTGTAGCCATTAAGTTTTCACTCTCTATTTCTCCTCACCCCTACCCCCGGCAACCACTGTCTGCTTTATGTCTGTGGTTTTACCTGTTCTGGACATTTCACATAAGTGGAATGAATCATACAATATATGGCCTTTTGTGCCTGGCTGCTTTCACTTGGTATGTTTTCAAGGTCCATTCATGTTACATATCTTTCTTTGAACTGTCTGTTTATTGTATGTTTATGTCACTATTTCATCTGTTGGTGGATCCTTAACACCATTTGCTTATTGTGAATATTAGTGGACAAGTTTTGATCTGTTTTTAGTTCTTACAAATATATATCTAGGAGTGGAATTGCTGTGTCATAATGTAATTCTCTTTTTAATTTCTTGAGGAACTTTCAAACTGTTTCCCATAGTGGCTGCACCATTTACATTCCCTCCAGCAGTATAGAGTCCCAGTTTGTCTAGACCCTTGTCAAGCTTAATCCCCCCCTTCCTTATTAAAAAAAGTTATAGCCATCCTGTAAGGTGTAAAGTGACGTATTTCATTTGGTTCAGACTTGCATTCCCCTAATGACTTCATGATTTTGAGCATCTTTTTAAGTCTTTATGGGTCATTCGTATATCTTCTTTGGAGAAATATCTATTTAAGTCCACTGCCCATTTTTAATTATGTTGTTGAGTTATAGGATTTCTTTATATGTTCTAGATGGTAAATGTTTAATCAGATTATAATTTGCAGAACCTTTTTCTATGGGTTTTTTCCATTTTCTTGATGTCATTTGCACAGAAGTTTTATCTATGTCTAACTTTTCTTTTTTTTCTTGTTGCTTGTGTTTTGGTGTCATAGCTAATAATACATTACTAAATATAAGATCATGGAGATTATTCTGTATGCTTTTTAAGAGTTTTACGGTTTTAGCTTGTGTATTTAGGTCATGGATCCATTAGAGTTATTTTTGATTATAGTGGAAAGTTCAATTTGTAATTGTTTCTGTGATTCTAGATTTGCAAATGGAAGGTTGTAATGTTTTATCCATTCCCAACTCTCCTCAAGAAAACCCCAGAAAGACCAACAGTTAGTTGAGGGGTACAAAAGTTAATCAGTGAAGCACTAGTACTTCTCAACCCTTGCTTCACATTAGAATCAACTAAATAAATTACAAAATAAATTCACCCAGATTAAGTGGAATTGTTATATCTGTTATGCATAGGCTTAACTAAACCCCCAAAGTGATTGTAATATGCTTCCAGGATTGAAAACCACTGATTTAAAGAAAATAGAAATTTGTTAGTGATTTAAGGCAGTGCATCTAAACTTTAGTTGTGCATACAAATCACCTGGGTTCTTGTTCAAGATGCATATTCTTACTAAAAAACTAAGAGTCGATCTAAGATATACATGTAAAAGCTAAAGCTTATAAAACTTACAGAAGAAAACAGGTGTAAATCTTCATGACCTTAGATTAGGCAGTGATTTTTGAGATAGGACACCAAAAGGACAAGCAACCAGTGAGAAATAGGTAAACTGGACTTCATCAAACTTAAAAACTTAATGTTCCAGAGGCGGTGAGCAAGAAAGGGAAAACCTCCCAACCCACACAGAATGGAACATAATACTCGCAAGTTGTGTATCTGATAATTTTCATAATACAACTCAACAATAAAAAGATAACCTGGCCGGGTGTGGTGGCTCATGCCTGTAATCCTAACACTGCGAGAGTCTGAGATGGGAGGATTGCTTGAACTCAGGTGTTTGAGACCAGCCTGAGCAAGAGAAAGACCCTGTCTCTACTAAAAAGTAGAAAAATTAGCTGTGTTGTGGCATATGCCTGTAGTCTCAGCTACTCAGGAGGCTGAGGCAGCAGGATCACTAGAGCCCAGGAGTTTGAGGTTGCAGTGATGCCACTGGACTCTAGCTTGGGTAACAGAGCCTCAAAAGAAAAGAAAGATAACTGCTTCCTGACAGCATTCATTTAGAGAGCCCTTCTTCCTTCAGCCCTCCCAAATCACCTAACCTATATCCAGATCGTCTTAAATCCTTTCTAACATCTTAGGAGATTCTTTCACAAGAACTTAGGAGTTCTTGAAGGTGGTGGTCTCCCTTATATAACAAGCCCTGAACCTAGCCTTTTCCATGCATGTTGTGTTCCTGCATTGTCTGAAGCTGTGGAGAGGCTGCTCTGTTTAGATGTGGTTTGCATTTTTCATTTTTGTCACCACCTTCAGTATCTCCCATAATTCATTGGTGTTGGTTTTTGCTGTGCCCTTGGGGAATTTAAATTTGCAAGTCCTACCATAGACCTCTTATGGTCTGGGGACATTCCCTTCAGCATTATCTGATTGGGTCATCAACATCCACTTTTCCCACAAAGTGAAGTTCTTTTTCTCTAGCATCCAAAAGAGGTTGCTAGAGGGAAGCTCTGCTGGAGGGATTGAAGATCAGGAAATTGGCACCAGCCCACACTTTATACCTCAGATTCTGTGAAGCTGGATTGAAACAACTGCCCATATTGATGCCCAGGCTGGATTTAATCAAAGCCTACATCCTACGTAACAGTGAGGCATCATAATGCCCATGATAGTTAATGCCTGATTTCAATCATTTCAAATATACATTAATATTCAGTGAAAGGAGACTAAATAAACCTGTATATTATAGTTTCAGAAAATTTAAATCCCTGGTTGATGGTATTTTTGATTAAAGTCAGCCTGTTTTAATTTGCACTCCCATCCACTGAAACAGTTTGTTTATCAGTCTCTAGAGAGGCAGAGGATGTGAACACTGGATGACCTGGGAGGCACCTAGTGACATCCCCTGGGTTGTCTTGCCTGTGGTTACCCAGTGAATTTGTGGCAGTGCTGCACCTTCAGCCCAGCCTTTTCTGGGTCCTGTTTCTAGAGCTGTTCAGTCATCCCACACTTCAGAAGTCCCATGTCAGACCCAGCCTGATTTAACCTGGACAAGGTCTGGGGGGAGTGGTGATAGATTCTCGTAGGAGTTAAGAAGGAAGGGAGATCAGAGCCAAAAGCCTTAAGATTCATGTACTTACTGGATGCACAAGCTGCCCCATAGTCAAAAAAGCAGAAGGAACTATACTCCTTGGACTCCCAACAACAGTAAACAAGATCCAGGATTTGTATCCAGGTTGTGGTCTCAGCATTTTGCATGTATTTATTTCAGTTATCACAACCTTATCCCCATTTGATTGGAGAGGAAATGTTTAATCTGGAATTCCTCCGGTGGTGTGAGACTAGGGAGTAGTGCTAGAGAGTTCTGCTAGGGGGGATGGTGAGTTGTATCTGTAGGGTTGGAGAAGTCTTTTATTTTCATCCCTTTGAGCCACAGCAAACCATGTGCCACTTCTTTCCAGGTTAGTAGGGCTGTGCAGGGGTGTGGTCAGGGATAAGTGGGGTGTAGCCTTCCATTACCCTTGCCCCAGGGACATGCTTGAACCCTGGGCTGCTGAAGGGCTGTTGTGCTTGCTGTGTCCCCTAACCCCTGGCCACCAGCGGGCAGTGCTAGCTGACACCTCAGCCTCCCTGGGGTGGCATTTGGGAAGGTGAACAGCACTTCTCTTTTTTTTTTTTTTTTGAGACAGAGCCTCAAGCTGTCCCCCTGGGTAGAGTGCTGTGGCATCATAGCTCACAGCAACCTCCAACTCCTGGGCTCAAGCGAGTCTCCTGCCTTAGCCTCCCAAGTTGCTGGGACCACAGGCGCCCGCCATAATGCCTGGCTATTTTTTGGTTGCAGCCATCATTGTTGTTTGGCAGGCCTGGGCTGAATTTGAACCTGCCACCTTAGGTATATGTGGCTGGCGCCTTTGCCACTTGAGCCACGGGCGCCAAGCCAACAGCACTTCTCAAACCATCAGACTCGCACCTCCTTATTAACTATTTTCTAATGCCATATTTTCTTTACCATCTCAAAATGCAATCAGCTACTAAGAATTATTTGCTTAGTTTCTGCAATCAGAAACTAAGCAAGTAATTAGTATGAACAATTTAATATAAAAGAGACATAAAGGAAAGTAACTTTCTTAATAAGCTGTGGTTGTCAATCTGTACTGCTTGGGCCCAACTGCAGTGGGTGAACGTGATGGAGTAACTATATGCTTGTGCCCATCAGCAGAACAATGCAGTGGATATAGGTATGTTTGTTGTGTTAGGGACAAATACATCAACATTTTCTGAAATGGTAAGCAACTGTTTGTAAAGTTAAAATGGAATATAATTGTCCTTTTATTTATAAGTTATTACATTCTTGGAAATTTCAATGTATATTAAAACTGCAAAAATGATTTTCACGTACATCCAGCTTATGTACAACTTGCATTTACAAATGGGGGTTATTATAGCAAGTCCCTGAGTCAGGTATCCAACTGACATTCCATTCATACTTTGGAGGCTATTACAAGTAACAGGTAAATGTACTTATTCCAACTTACATACAAATTCAACTTAAGAGCAAACCCTCAGAACCTATCTTGTTTGTAACCTGGGGACTGCCTGTAATTATAAACAGGTTTTTCATTGGGTCCTACATGAGTGTCCCCCAGGAAGATACTTGAAGATTTTTTTTTTTTTAAATTAAGAGATGGGGTCTCATTTTGTTGCCCAGGCTGGCCTTGAACTCCTGGGTTCAAGTGATCCTCCTGTGTAGCTGGGACTAGAGGCATGCATCACCTTGCCCAGCTTTAAAATCAATTCTTTATTCTGAAGAACTATCCATGTATTGTACAAAGTCTGGTTAGCATCCTTGGCCTTTGCCTCCTAAATGCCGGTACCCATACCTCCATGGCTATCCATCACTGTGACATTAATATCCCTATAAATTTCTAAAACAGCCCTTGGGCACGAATACACTAGATGAACACAGTGGAGTACTTGTATGTTTGTGCCCATTAGTAGATCACTGTGAATAACAAATGCAGGTGGATGAAGTGCCTTCCTCACAGAACTCCTGGCTTTGTCGGCCTCTGGGAGTCTGAGAATAGCTGACCTGTAATGTGAAGATGCTGAAGTTTTCCAGATGTCCCTAGGCTGAACTTGGAGCCCACATTGTCTGTGCTTACTTTCTGTCACACTGTTGTGGAGCCATCTGTTTGCCTGTTCAGAGCCCCACTCTTGGAGGACAGGCTTCTATCTTCATTTCTTCTTCCCCAGCCTCCAGCACAGTGCCGGGGGGGCTGCAGAATGAGCGGTATGGGAGGTTTCATTTCTGCCACACATGGATCAGATTCTGCCTTCAAGTAGAACTCGCCATTGCAGCCTGTAAGGGCTAAACTGTATCTTTGTTATTGTCGAAGGCAGCTCATAAAACAAAAATCACAGACAAAAATGTCCTTGAATGACCGCAGAGCACAGGCCGGCCACAAAGCCTATGCCCCCGGCATTGGAACACATCAGTGCTTGGTTGATTGGAGTTTCATTTGTACAAATAAAGGGGGGAAGCAAGAAAGTTCTAAATGTGATTTCCGTCATTGATTACAGAATTTCTTCTGATCATTTGATTGTGTGAATTTCAACTTCAATTTAAACTTGACTTTTAAAGTTTCCTCTCTTCTCTGGATGTGATTCCCAGGATCAGCATGTGATTCCTAAAAATGCATCCAGAGAAGCCTATCTTGACACTCTATAGTTCACCTTAAGAATTTAGAATACAACAGGGGTCAGGAGCCTGGAACAAGTTCTGAGATACGATAGCAATGGATGCCTAATTCTCTTTGGACCACTGATAAACAATTTTCATTTCATTTTTAGAGTTTCCATAATTGTAGCAATTATCTCCGAGAGATTTTTGTCCACACTTACTTGGATGAAGTTTTCTGGAGCTACTGGGGGCTCTAGAGTGTCAAACTGGGACTGCAGTAACTGAGAGGGCATAAAATGTCCTTTTCTTTTGAGTAGGCGCCCAGAGATGAGCTCAAATGACCCACTGAGATGGACCACCAGGAGCTGGACTTCACTTGGTTTTTCCTCCTTTCCCAACTCCTCACACTTCGGAGCTGCACCAGCTTTTCCTCGTATTAAGATGTCTCGGTACATTTTCTTCAGGGCTGAACAGGCTAGAACCACACAGTGTCCTGAGGCTACATCTCTGTTTAAAAAGGGGGGTGGAGGGTGGTAAGGAACAATGACATTTAAAATGACTGATGTCAATACTAGAGGAGGATTCCAATCCTACTTCTCTACCAGGGGAAGCCATTAGAAAATGGTGGGTAAGATCAGGCAGTTCTGGCTTTGAGTTAAAGATCTTGCACTTGTGAATTGAGCGATCTTGGACAAATGCATTCACGTTCATGGCCATTAGGTTTATCATCTGGTAAGTGGGGCTACTCAGGGTATCTGCCCACAGAGCTGTTGGGAGAGGTACAGGGTACACAAAAGTGCTTAGTAAGTGGTGGTTCTGCCCTAGGGGTGTAGGATGTGGCTCAGCCTCAGCGTGTGGACATAGGGTGGACAGCATGCACCTGCACTGCCCAAACAGCTTGGCTCAGATCCTCTGCAAGTTGTTCAGTGATTTGCATTCTACAACCACTATCTCCTTTGACTCCTACTCTACGGTATGGTGGGAACAACTGGGAGAGCTTCCAGTGCAGAGCTGGAGAAAGGAGGAGAGAAAGGAACATCAGCTTCTGCAAAGACAAGGTGAGCATGATGTGAGAAGTTTCCAGGGATGCATTAAGGAAAAAACTGAGCTAGAAATAGAGGCAGTGTGACACAGTACCAATAAGGGAAGCCAGTGTGTCCAGAAACCACACAGAGTGAGCCACAGGCTTCCACCCAGCTGCTGTGGGCTGGGCTGGGACTGCAGAGTTAAGAAGTGGAATAAATAAATAAAAATAATACTAATACACTGCGTAATGTATCTACTCATGAGTTTATACTAAAGTTGAGCAGATGAAATAGACTTAACTGTAGAAAGAACACAAAAGTCATTGTGAAAATAAAACTCTAGTTTATATAGTGAAGAATGTAAAAACATTTCTTCCAAATGACTCAGAAAAGACAACATAACCAAAAAATAGACAAAGAATAGCAAAGGACAGTTCACAGAATAAGATACCTCAATGGGCTATATACCTAGGTGCTCAGGAATCATGGGAGTGCAATTAAAACAAGTTTTCATTTCTCACACATCACACTGATAAGTTTTTCTGAGATTGACAATAGTTGTGGGGAAGGACAGGAGGAAACAGACTCCCTCTTAACAATGGTAATGGTTGGAGTGGGCCATGGTAAAGACTTTATTTGAGAGGTCTCCCTCTGATCTCATGGCCAAGTTGGACTAGAGACTCAGTGGCTGGAGTGTGTCATCAGAAACAAACCTCTATGCTGAGGTCCACTCTTCTGTGGAGTGTGACCTCGAGGTCTGATCCTGCTCTCCTGAGGATCTTCACTACCGCTGCCATTTCCAGGTCAGTGAGTCTGTTAAGAGACCCAGCTGGGCAGGAGTTCTCAAACCCTAAGCCAAGAGAAAGATGGGGCTGCCACCCAAGTCAGTGGGCCGTTTTGGTCACAAGTATGTACTAACTTCATGGCACCCAGATGGTTTTAGGTTGATAAAATATGACTTAATCTTAGGAAGCAAGATTTACAACCTATTTCCATCCCCTCCCTTCCTTTTCTTCATCCTCCTTCGTGTCCTGACAAGTGGGGACAGGCCTGTAGATGTGGGGGGACCATGTTAGCTCAGAGGCATGCCACAGAGCTGGGCAATGTGGGACTCCAGCCTGGGTAGCTAATTATCTTCCTTCCAGGTCGCAGCTTGAAGCAGGGGGAAAATAACAGGGGTGACTAAGATAGTCAATTACAGGTAGGGTAACACTTAGAACGGGGTGATCACGGTGATTACCCCGTTATAAGTGTTACCCATGCACTTTGTCCTCACTATAATCTGTAAGTAGGACAGATTATACTCTAACAGATTATACTGTTTTTACTAATGAAGAAACAGGCTTCTGGGAACCAAGTGGCTAATCAAAATTCCCAGTAATCACGAAGCTGTCTCCAGAGCCTGACTAGACTACTTGGCTGCCTGTGGCTGGTTGAAATCATTATCTGTCACTGTATAGAAGTGCATTTGATTCCTGGAGCCTTCATCAGTCAGTTGTGATTTCAAGAGTGTATTTTTTTTTTTTCTATACTTTCTGATGGTTTTCTTCATTTGCTGACTTATGCCAGGGCCCAATGGTTTCTTACCTTAATAAAATGTCATGCAAGTTGCACAGCCATGGAATCCTGTCCTGAAATTAAAGCAAACACAGGGTGACTTTTCCAGGCATTGTTTGTTTGTACAGAAACATAGTTATATCATGTTAACAAATGTTCAGGTTCAGAGGTTAGTGGTTTTAAGGATGAGGCCATGCACAAGGCTGAGGTGCCAATCACTGGGCAGGTAACCACACAACATGTACTTGGTTTGGGTGTCTGTGGTTTTTCTTATAATATTAAAGGTTGACATAAAGTACCAGTATGTACCTCTCTCCCTGTCTTGATCTCCCCATTTCATATGTTTTCCCTGGTTCTGATATGTTGATAAAACTTTTACTGAACGTATTCTTTAGTTGCCTCTACTGTCAACTGTGCCCAGGTCCTATTCCTCAAACTCTCCAAAATCCAAACTCCCCTTGGACACAAGCATTGTAGAAATTTCTGTTTTTCCAAAAAGAAAACAGAAGTTTACGTAGCACCTCCAGTGTTTCACAAATAAATCTCCCTGAGACATGTTCTTTTCTTTTTCCCAGAGTAAACCTGATATTGGTCATAATAAATTAAGAAAAACAGAAAATCTTTTTATTATGGACAATTTAAAACATATTCAAAAGCAGACAAAACAGTACAAAACAAACCTCTGTCTACCAATATAGAGAGGTTTTAAAGCTTTAGCAATTTTCAACCTGTGATTAGTTTTGTTTTATATACTATAACCCCCAACCGCATCCTGACCTGTGGCTCCCACTACACCAGAAATCCCTTAAGAGTCCAAATGTAATAGCTACAAAATTCACACAAGGTGGAAATCAAATGACAACAGCTACATGAGTTACACAAATTTTATCCTAAATGACAAGTGGCTATGTAATCCAGGCAAATCCCTACTCAAGTCACAACAGCTACTGTCATGCTACACATGGAATCTCAAACGCATCTAACAAATGAAACATCTGTTTATGTTGGCACTTGTCTGAGGGCATTGAGTGGGACAAGTGTGGCTTTTTGTAAATGCAGTAGCAGGATGAGGCTCACCAGCTCCACCTTTGCAGATCATAAAGAACTCTGTCAATGCAGCTAGGCTATATAGGGAGATTTCATGTGCCCTGGAAACTTTATTGGCAAGGTTTTCTAGGGCATCCTGCTTGAAAACTAGATAGTTTGGACAACCTGTGAGGAGAAAAATCAGAGGGATTGTGCTACGTTTATGCAACCTGAAACTACCCGGCAATGTAGTGTTTACTGGGCTTACAGCAGGGGCCACGGAAGAAGCAGGGATAATTAGCTAGACTGATGAAATTGTGCAGTATTTTATGATAAAAAACTGCCCTGAGGAAAAGCTGCCAATTCAAGCACACATCTGGATTTCTACCCTCTTTTTCCATTTATAATGCTTATTGTGTGCTTAGGGAGACCCAGACACTGTTCTGGGTGCTTTTGGTTCAGGAACCTACTAGATAAATGATCACTGTGATTTTCTTCTTTTTTTTTTTTTGAGACAGGAGCCTCAAGCTGTCCCCCTGGGTAGAGTGCCATGGCATCTCAGCTCACAGCAACCTCCAACTCCTGGGCTCAAGCGAGTCTCCTGCCTCTGCCTCCCAAGTAGCTGGGACCACAGGCATCCACCACGCTATTTTTCGGTTGCGGCCATCATTGTTGTTTGGCGGGCCCAGGCTGGATTCGAACTCGCCACCTTGGGTTTACGTGGCTGGCACCTTAGCCACTTGAGCCATAGGCGCCGAGCCCACTGTGATTTTTCAGTCACTTCTAAGGTACTATTTGAATGCCTCTTTCTAAATTCCTTTCTTGTACTCCCCTTGTAATTAGCTAAGCTTTTCTGTCACATTCATAGACTAAAGAGATGAAAAAGATAATACTGTTATTTAGGAGCTGTTTTTTTTTAAACTTCTTGAATCTATTTTCTAAAACAGCCCCTCTAACAGCAGGTTGTAATGGAAGAGGGTGACCGGGACTTGAAGCCTCACATCAACTGGGAAAGGTTCTGTTTCCTACCCTGGGATTCAGTCCTATAAAGTGATGGCATCTATAGGCCCGCAAGAAGGGAAGCACCAGCCGCTTGCTTGGTAAAGTGGTATAATAAGCATTTAGCTGACTGATTTCTAACTCTGGAGTGTGTTTTACGTGAAAATGGGGGCATGTGGCTTCTCACAGAAGTGATGTTAACTCCTATAAAGCTAATGGGTCACTGGACCCATCTTATAGTAAATAGGAGCCACAGCAAGCTACTTTCCTAAGGACTTGGAAATAAAACTGTTCTGTAAGGATTAAATTTAAAGACCAGCAGTTGATGGGAAGGAGCAGAAATGTACAGGATCACGAGAAGGAGCAAGAATGACTCACAGGCTAGCGAGACACGACTGTGATCCAACTAAATGTTGCACACATAACAGGAGCACGGCCGTCTCTCAGAGGCTGCGTGGGCAGGGAGCCCAGGTCAGAGCGCTGTAGACTGAATGGTGAATAAGCACTGTCCAGAGGACACGGAGTCTTGACCATTGGAAGGTCAAGATCTCTTCCTACTAACAGGATGTTATGGTCTTGACCACTAGAAACTTTGGTTCTAACTCCCATGTTTACTAAGAAACCTTTCAGTTGTATGCGGGTTTCTGAAAATGTGTGTATCAGATTGACGTGAGTGTTGTGGGGCATGTGCCACTTAGGTTTCTCTTGGTAAATTAATCCACTGGCAGTTTGGTTACCAGCCACCTCGTAAACATGATTGGGGGTATCTCATGTGAGGGATGAACTCATGTTCAATGTGCTGACTATGAAGGGAGCTGGCAAGATGGAGCCTCAGCTGGGGTCATGGCCGGGTGGTCAGCCAGCCTTTCCCACAACAAAACCCTTCTCATTGTGCAAGTCTCTCAGTGAAATTTCACTTAAAATCCTGAGATAGTGCTGTGTGCTGTTGCTCTTCATTTAGCAAGAAGAATGTTTGGTTTAGAAGAGGAGGTTTGGAAGCCTCTGAGGGCCGAAGGCTACTTTATACATTCCATACCTACTTAGGGGCAATTCTAACCATGAATTAGGACTCAAAGATGAATACACAACAAAAAACTGCTTTTCTGGCATAAATGTTTATAATGGATGCTGAATGAACCAAAGGAAGAATATTTGTTTAAATGCTAATACTTCTCCTATTAGCAAAGGGAGAGACTTGTGCTTATTATTTTATAGATTATATATTTCCTCTGTCCCATATACACAGATGTTTTTATTTCTTGGTGCTGTGGAAATGGATATCAGTCTCTGTATTATTTTACAGCTGAGGAAGCAAATACATGATTTTATTAAGCTGAGTGTTGACTATATTATTCATTATATTTTCCACATGCCTAAAATATTTCATAATAGGAATGAAATGGACAAATTTAAAATAACAGAAAATATGTTTGGGTAGTAAGTTTTCTAGTTTGTGTACAAGGAAATACAGCTTTACTTTGGTTTTTTTTTTTTTTTTTTTCAGTTTTTGGCCCGGGGCTGGGTCTGAACCCACCACCTCTGGTATATGGGGCCGGTGCCCTACTCCTTTGAGCCACAGGGGCTGCCCTACAGCTTTATTTTGAATCCATGCTTTTTAAAAATTATTGTTTTAATAGTGTCTTAGTATATGCTTTAGTCAATAATAAAGCATGTTGTTTCATTTAATCATAATAAAATTTAACAAAAATGGATACTTTCAGATGTTGGCCCTGTCAGAATTTATGACAGACCAATGACCACATACCACCAGAAAGGACTGTGCACATCAGTCACAAAAACAATTAAAGTTGGAGACAAAAGAGAAGCACTTTGAACTTTTATTTCTGAGATTTCTAAATGTTGAGTCATAATTAAATGACTGGCATCTTTCTTTGGAGGATCTCATGAGGCCACAAAGAAAAGGGTTTCTCCAAGGCAGCACCAGTGTGGAAGTGAGAATTCTCATTCCTGACCTACTTCAAGCCAGTGCCTTGACTACTCTAAGGCCTAGGCCCCATAGTGCACGTGCTTGGGGGAAGTTCCGTCTCTCCTTGCTACTCTTACTCTCCCCTTTGCTCTGTAATTAACCAGATGAATTGTGAATCATTTGTTGGGTAGATTATCAAGACCTTTAACACAGTAGGATAAGTATGGCGCTAGGTGACTCCTCTCACTGTGTGGCTTCGCTCACATTACTTAACTTCTCTGCACCTTCTTTATTCATCTGTAAAATGGGGATTGCATGGTTTATTGAGCTGTTTTGGGATTTCAATAAGAAAAGGAATAAACTCCATTTTAAACATTATTTTTGTTTTATAGCAGCACAATTCACAATTGCAAAGATGTAGAAACAACCTGAATGGATTACTAAATTGTGGTATATGAATACCATAGAGTACCATTCAGCCATAAAAAAGATTTTAACCTAGTATCTTTGTTAACAGCCTGGATGGAACTGGAGACCATTTTCCTAAGTGAAGTATTGCAAGAAAGGGAAAACAAACACCACATGTGCTCAGTACTAAACTGGAACTGGCTGATCAACCCTTATGTACATATATGGAAAATGCAAAGGAAATTAGGAAGTGTGGGAGGGGGCAGGGTCAATTCACATCTCACTGGTACAATGCATATTTTCTGGGTGAAGGGCACACTTACAACCTTGTCTTAAAATGTACAAAAGCAAAATGTGTAATCACAATGTGTGTACTCCTGTAATATTTCTGGAATTTAAAAAAAGTTAAAAAACCAATTTTTTTGCTCATTTAATAGCTGAAATAAACAGTATATATTTCCTACCTTGAATTTTTTTTTAAGAGTTTTAACTTACTATTAATTTGGTAGATACTGGGCTTTAATTCCAGAAATACTAAATACTAATATACTGGGCTTTAATTCCAGAAATACTAAATACTAACAGGTACAGACCACTGTATTGAGCACTGGGGTGCAAATATGAACAGTGGGGTTGGTTCTTTTCCCCAAAGGTAACACAGCTTGATGGAAGAGACAGAGGAGCAGGTGATGAATTAGATTACCCAAAAGATACTGAGAAGAACCATAAGGAATATATTGAGTAGGGGGGAGGGTCTAATTTTAATGAAGCCTTGGGAAGATAAAAGAAGATTTCAACTAAAGAAGGGCCTGAAACGTATTAGCAAGAAAAGAACAAGTGATCCCATCTCAAGGTGGGCAAGGGACTTGAAGAGAAACTTCTCTGAAGAAGACACATGCCTGGCCTATAGATATATGAAAAAATGCTCATCATCCTTAATCATCAGAGAAATGCAAATCAAAACTACTTTGAGAGGCTCGGCGCCTGTGGCTCAAGCAGCTAAGGCGCCAGCCACATACACCTAAGGTGGCGGGTTCGAATCCCCAGCCTGGGCCGCCAAACAACAATGATGGCTGCAACCAAAAAAATGGCCAGGTGTTGTGGCGGGCGCCTGTGGTCCCAGCTACTTGGGAGGCGGAGGCAGGAGACTCGCTTGAGCCCAGGAGTTGGAGGTTGCTGTGAGTGTGATGCCATGGCACTCTACGCAGGGGGATAGCTTGAGGCTCCATCTCAAAAAAAAAAAAAAAACTACTTTGAGATATCATATAACTCCAGTAAGATTAGCCCACATCACAAAATCCCAAAACCAGAGATGTGGTGTGGATATGGAGAAAAGGGAACACTTCTACACTGCTGGTGGGTATGCAAACTAATACATTCCTTTTGGAAAGATGTTTGGAGAACACTTTGGGATCTAAAAATAGACCTGCCATTCGATCCTACAGTTCCTCTACTGGGGTATATATCCAGAAGACCAAAAACTACATAACAAAGATATTTGTACCAGAACGTTAACTGCAGCCCAATTCATTATTGCTAAGTCATGGAAGAAACCCAAGTACCCATCAATCCACAAATGGATTAATAAATTGTGGTATATGTACACCATGGAATATTATGCAGCCATAAAGAAAGATGGAGACTTTATCTCTTTCATGTTTACATGGATGTAGCTAGAACATATTCTTAGCAAAGTATCCCAAGAATGGAAGAAAAAGTATCCAACGTACTCAGCCCTACTATGAAACCAATTTATAGCTTTCATATGAAAGCTATAACCCAATTATAGCCCAAGAATATGGGGAAAGGGAAGAGGGAGGGGAGGGGAGGGGGGAAGATGGATGGAGGGAGGGTGATTGGTGCAACCCAAGAACTGGATTTTACATTTTATTTAATTGTAATTAATTTATATTTAAATAATCTTACAGAGCCATTGATACCTTCAGCTAAGACCTCAGCCCTAAGCGTGCTGAGTACAAAACCCTCCCTAAACGCTCCCTAGACTCTTCCCCAAGGCAGAACCTGGCCCTCTGCGTTGGACAATTTTTACTTACTATCATGGGGCCCTGTCAGGGCAGGACTGGGTAACTCATGGGTTTTTGTAAAGAATATAAACCATCTTCAGTGCTACCTCTTTCTCTCCCTGTTTTGGGTTGTCTTTAAATGCTGCCTAACTTACAGTTTTTCCCAAAAATTTTTAGCAAGTAACTCAGATTTCTCCCAGTACCTTTTCTTTTATACATAAATTCCTCTTCTAGATTCTATCCCACCCATACCCCTGTCCATACAGATGTTTAACAAGCACCACTTGTGTTGGGAGGCCTAAGGCAGCCACCCGTGAACCCTTTCCCCTCCTCCTCCTCTCCTCCTAACACAAGGAAACAAAGAATCTGGCTCACCCACCCGCTGAGATGTTTGTGCCAAAGGACCCAAAGGACCCTCGGGGCAGCTGTGAAATTTGCCCACCCCCTTATCGCCCCACATAAGAGGGGTCCCTAACGGCCCACCTGCACCCACCCCTCCAATAGACTGCACAGCCCAGGCGTATCACCCTCCCCTTTCAGTAAACCTGGCCTCCTCTCTGGGTGCCACTGCTTACATCTTTCGACTTCTGCACTTGGCTGTAGAAATGCCATTTTAAATCCATCTATCTGGGTTGCTTTACTTCATTCTTTTTTTTTTTTAGACAGAGCCTCAAGCTATCCCCCTGGGTAGAGTGCCATGGCATCACAGCTCACAGCAACCTCCAACTCCTGGGCTCAAGCGAGTCTCCTGCCTCAGCCTCCCAAGTAGCTCGGACTACAGGCACCCGCTACAACGCGCGGCCATTTTTTGGTTGCAGCCATCATTGTTGTTTGGCGGGCCCGGGCTGGGGATTAGAACCCGCCACCTTAGGTGTATGTGGCTGGCACACTTCATTCTTTAATGTACAGTTTATGTGTACTCACTAAAGAGGAAAAATAACTCTGGTGACAGTCACATCTTCCAAACTTCATAGAAATGATGTATGTTTATGCCCATATATGGTTTATGCTGTGTGTATTATTATCACTAATAATAGTGCTATTTATTGAATGCCTTGGGCACTTTTCTCTGCCTTTTTTTTGCATTATCTCATTTAACCTTCCCAAGAATGCAATGAAATAGATCCTGTTACCATTTCTACTTCACAGGAGTAAAGTGAGCACAGAGAGACAGCCCCCTGTCAAAGGTCACACAGCCTGGTGGTGGAGCCAGATTGCGTACGTTGATCATCTCTAATATAGTATCACTATTATGTTTAAATTATTACTCTATAAATCTTTGATGGTTCCCTTTATCTCCTAAAGTCTTGTTCCAACACTAATTTTGATGGCTCAAAGCATGAACCATTGCAAACTCAAGCTGTACCCCCTCAAACAAAGGTATGTGTAACCTCCAGGTGCTCTAGAATAGACCTAGCAGTGGTCATTGGCTCAAGTCCTTCCAGGCAGAAAAAAAGGGAAGATAGGGAAGGAAAGCACCACTGGGGTGAGCTGGGCCAGGCCACTGAAAGTGAAAACAACACTGTTGCTCTTTGATCAGTGCCATTTGTTCCTGCCCTTTGGACACACTTAGTGCATGGACCTAAGTGCCCCAGAGCAGCCCTCGCCCTGCCCCTGAGGTCTGTCCTGAGTGACAGGTAGTTCTGCCAGTGAATCTGTGGTTTGGAAGTCAGGTTTGAGAGAGACACTCTAAGAGATGGCCTCATGGCCCTGCATGCAGGAAAGTGCTATTCATTCATTCATTCATTTAAAGACATGTCCCAAGGTTTATTTGACATTTGCTGGGGGGGGGGCCTTCGGGATACAATGATTAGCGGAAATGCCTGCAGTCCTTTCCCTTTTGGGTGTAAAGTCTAGCTGCAGAGACAAACATTAATCAGTCTCACACCATCAACTGTTGAGGTACAACAGGGACAGTGCCAATAAATGGTGCTAGGAGAGCTCAGCATGGGGTTTTATTTACATGGGTCAGTGAGGGCTTTTACTTACAGAAGTCAATGAGAATCTAAAGATAAGCAGGGCAAGCACAGAAAGAGGGGAACAGGCATATGAGGCCTGGTAGGGAGAAGCACTGCAGGAGGCACAGAGAGGGGCAGGGTGGCTTCCTGGAGACAGGGAGTGAAGGCTGGACCACACAAGTTTATCAGTTTAGGTGTTTGTCCTTGACCCTGAGATCAGTGGGAAGCCTCTAAGGGTATTAGGAAGAGTAGACATGGCTAGATTTGGGTTTTCAAAGATCACTCTGGCTTTCGGGTGGATGCCAGTGTATGGTGATAATGGTAGGCTGATGGGATCTGGAAGAGAAGATGATGAACTTCCCCAATAACAAGGCACAGGGGAGCCCCTGTCCTCTCGGGGATTACATTTTGTAGATTAAAATCCTGAAACAAGGTGTTTTGGCAGGCCCTGCCCAAGCTGGGGCAGAGGGTGGCATTGCTCCTGGTGCCAAGTTCAGACAGAAGCTCAGGGCTGGTGCTAACACATGTGGAGTACCTGCTGTGCTCTTGGCTTTTTAGAGCTCCTGTACATGTGTTGACTCATGACTCAGAAACTCGACTACGCCAAAGGCTGCAGATACCTCACCCTGTATCACCCTGGTGGACTATGTATGTTAGACGAAGACAGTGAACGGTACCTGGTCATTCAGCGGAATCCCTCTTCCCATCTTCACTCGATTTTCCTCCGGGTGGTAGTCATCCGCGTCATAGAATTTCCATCCCAGCTTTAGAACAAAGTTAAAAGGTATGTGTATGCAGGTAGTTGGGCCCCTGTGACAGCCACCACAGGGTTATTAATACTAACAGGCAGCTATAGGGACAATACTACCTCCCTCTGCGCCCATCACCACTGAGGACGACCCCCAGCAGTGGAGAGCCTTGCCGTGCTAGTTCACAGTCCCTGTGGCTGGGCTTTATTCATTTGTCACCATTTCTAATCACCAAGAAGGAAAACGGAATTGTTCCAATGGGTTAAAAGTCACATGGAGGCGTCTGCCCAAACTACTATAGCCCAGAAGAAAAGTAGAGAAGTAACAAGGCAAGAACCAAGCGGTCATGCACTGAGGAGGTGTCAGAGCAGGTTACCTTGGATGCCAGCTGGGCGCCCACCGTCGATCTGTTGAGAGGACACAGGTGTTTCCATTACTGCTCTTGCCCAAAATGTGGCACTTCCTTCCACACAAGGAAGCCCAGGACAGAGATAGCTGTCCTAGCCAATATTAAAATGCCAATCACCACATGATCCTAAAGCAGCGCTGCCGAGATTGGCCCTAGCTGTTCTTGAGGAATGCCCATGAAGAAATAAGCCAGCTACCACTATTTCATTTTCAAAGGTGATATATAAGATCTCATTAAACCCTGAAGTTTTTTCTTCAATAATCAATTTTTTGGTCGCTGTTGCATAGATGTTTATTTTTTGAGAGAAAACACTGCATTAATAAAGTGATTAAATTCTATTGAGGATGCTGGAGGGAAGGGTCCGATGGAGGATTTTATCTCTGACAGCACTCATGCAAAGTTCAGGGGGCAGATAAAAGCCTGAGAACATTGTCTGGGGGTTCAGAGAGACATAAAGGGCATGGATCTAAGACCGAAGGATTACCAGCCCTTGTTAAGATCAGGAGGTAAGTGCTTTCTGTGCAAAGCATCTGGTAACGATCTATTCATACCCTTACTGGGGTAAAAGGTGTGGGTCTCAGAACTGCCATTTGGGCCGACAGTTGCCTTCTGCCACTAACTGTGTGCTTCTGGGCAAGGCGCCTATCTAAACCTCAGTTGCCTCACCCGCAACACAAGGAACAGAGCTGCATGGTTTACCCATCCACTTCCATTTCATTCAGCCAATCTTTATTGGGCACCTCTAGTTCCCAGGACATAAGGGTGAGCCCACTGAGACACCGTCTCAGCCATCTCAAGGTGTGCAGTCTAGCACCAGAGGGCAGGGGTGGAAGCTGGAAGACAAGGATACAACAAGTGCTTTCCTGCTCTCAATTTCTAACATGTTGCCCAAACGCCAATTATTTAAGTATCATCTTCATAATTTTTACTCTATCCCTATGCCATTTCATCATGTCCCCTCCCTCTCTGAAGTCCTACATATCGCCTCTACAATTATTAACTTGATATTTTTTATTTAATTGCTTCACTTTTAAAAATTAGATGTGTTAAAGTAGGAAACTCTCTTCCTTTCCCTTATGCAAGAAGCTATCACGTACCTGAAACAGAAAGTAATCAAAAAAGTGTATACAAAGAAAACAAAACAATGTGATTAAATTCTAGCTGGATACTACTGCCTAACAAGGGTCCTGTTTCTCTTTTGTTGAAAGGTATCAGAAAGGTGTTAAAGACACACTTGTACCAGACCGAGACTGGCTCCTTGATGTAACCAAAGGATTCAAAGAGCACTGACATCCTTCCCGTTATGTTCACTCTACTAAAGGCTGCAAGGGAGACGTGTTGCGGCTAACTGATGAATAAACCCTCCCAGCCAAAATCCAGGGCTGGAGAAGCCAGAGGTGTGCATAACAGAAATCACACTGAAGACCCAGTTAGATTGGCCGTGAATGAACGTGCCAGCCACCATCGGCACTCGTAATTTAACAGTAGAGCTACATAGCTTTAGATGTAGATGGCAGAAAGGAAAAGCTACTGTCTGCTGCTCTATCCAAACCTTTTAAACTAGAGAACATGGAACTAAGCACAGGGGGCCTTGGCTGAAATAAGCGACAGTGCTTGGCCCATAGGAGACTGGTCAGACCTAAGCCTTATAAACCAAGTTCTGGAGTACTACTATCTCCCAGCGGGTTGGTCTAAATCAGGAACAAGGGACTTATAAAGGAGGCCCGTGGGGAGAGGAAGGGAGGCAGTATAAATGAGAAACATTCCAAAGATCTGAACTTGTTCCAGCAGTGGAGGGAAGGAAACCTAGAAAGGGATGTAAAGAAAACTAACACTGTCACCCGTGGAAATGGCTGCCATCTTTCATTCATTCAGTAAGTCAACAAATATTTATTGGCGGTGCCTGTAGGTCAGTGGGTAGGGCGCCGGCCACATACAGAGGCTGGCGGGTTGGAACCTGGCCCAAGCCAACTAAACAACAATGACAACTGCAACAAAAAAACAGCCGGGCATTGTGGCAGGTGACTGTAGTCCCAGCTACTTGGGAGGCAGAGGCAAGAAAACTGAGAAAAAAGAGTTGGAGGTTGCTGTGAGCTGTGACGCCATAGCACTCTACTGAGGGTGACATAGTGAGATTCTATGTCAAAACAAAAAAACAAAAAGCCCCAAATATTTATTGAGAACTCACTACGTCTGTCCCAGGCAATGCTCTAGACACAAAGTATTTTGCATTGGTAAATAAAAGAGAAAAGATCCATTACATTCTGGTGGGGGAAGGGGGAATAGTGAACATAGTAAATAAATAAACTTAAGTACTTAAGGTTAGGTTACTTTAGCACTTTGTTTGTTTTAAAGAAACCTGTCAGAAACCCATCTTACTCTGTTGCCCAGGCTGGAGTGCAGTTGTGTAATCACAGCTCACTGTAACTTTGAACTACTGAGCTCAAGGAATCCTCCCACTTAAGATACCTAGGTAGCTAGGACTACAGGCATATGCTACCATGTCCAGCTAATTTTTTTGTAAAGACGCGGTCTCACTGTCACTTGAACGCCTAGCCTAAGTATTTTTCCCATCTTGACCTCCCAAAATGCTGGGATTACAGGCATGAACCACCACGTATTATTAGCAGTGTTCTAAATGAAGTCTTATTTTGAGGCTATTTTACTCTTAAGGCATTAAGCTGTAACAAACATTTTTTCAAACACTATGGAGTATAATTTAAAAAATCTTGCAGGGCTCCCAAAGTGGTTCACAAAAGTCACTAAAGAATGCAATGTTGCTACATCCAATGGTCAATATAATGAAGTCTCAGTTTTTTAATTATTCAGCTAGTCGCTGACATTTGACAAGTCTCTCTGACCTTCTACTATCAGAGAGCCCCATGGCCCAGTCCTTGGACAGCTTCTCGTTTATACTCACTCTTTTGGTGATCTCAATGTCTTAGGTCTTTAAATATATTAATGCACCAATGATTCCCATATTTATATCTAAAGTCCCTCTTCTCTGAATGCTGGACTTGGAAATCCAACCTGCCATGGACAAATTCAGTTGATGACTGATCAGCACGTCTAACTCATCATATCCCACACTGAGCTTCTAAGACTTTCTATCTGTTCTATCTGTTCTTCAGATCTGTTCAGATCTGTTCTATCTACTGTTCCCCATCTCAGAGGGTAGCAAATCCCTTCTTACAACTACCCAGCCTTAAAATCTTGAACCATCCTTGAGTCCTCTCTCCCTCTCTTTGAGGGCAGATATTTATCTGTCCTGTTCCCTATATGACAATGACATACATAGAGGAAGGACTGAGCTCAATGAATAGTTACTGAATATGTGGATATCACAAGCTGTAAATCACAGGGCTTGGACTCTCTTCATCTGATCTAAGGCTTAGTGGAGTAAATGAATTGTGCAAGTTCACACAGCAACACAGCAGTGGAACCAAACAGAGTCCCAAGGCCTTGGACTCTTGGCTCTTGTTAATCACACCATGGCAACAGTTTTACATTCTCCAATTTCTTCAGACCACACAACAGCTAGGGATTGGGGGCTCTATGTTTGATTTCAATTTAAGTTCAAGATTTCTTGTCTTTGAGGCTAAGGATCCCCTAATAATTTTGGAAAGCTAAACTCATCTACTTGGCATAGGAGTTGTTGGGGCTCAGAAAACCAACCCCCCAAATGAAGGCCTCAAAAGCAAAAAGCTTTTCTCTTTCTCTAGCTCTCCTGTCTCTGTCCCACTCTCCCCAGAGGCTAGCCACAGAAACCAGAATCCCTCTTCCCCAAGGTGGGTCATAGAAACCACAATCCCTTTTTGCAAAAGCCAACCAGAAAGCCTAAAACTGTTCTGTAAAACTGCCATAAATAAATTATCTGACCTACCTTGTCTGATGTTTGACTATAGGTCCTAAGGTCCCCATTTCAGAGAGGATCCTGCCCCACACCCACAAGAAGGGATGTTGCTCAGAAAGACCAAGAAAAATCTAAATAGGTCTTACTGGGTTTCCCCACTCAGTTTTGTCCAGTATTTCTACAGGACTGTCCATACTTTAATGAACCTAAGGATAAAAACGGACAGTTTCCCTGCATCTTTGGGTGTAAATTCTGAATGCTCCAGTGCATACATGTTTAAAAAAATATTTTTAATTTATTTTTTGTCTCCCCAGCTGTGTTATACTTTTAAATTTAACTAAATTTAAATAAATTTACTGTATGTCTTTTCTCCTATTAATCAATCTGCCTTTTTTTCAGCAAACCTGTAGGAGGCCAAAGGCTTTGGTCCCTATAGAGCTTTAATATACACCTGACTACATGGACAGTTCCTGATTCAGAAAATTCTAGAAGGGCACTGTAGGTCTTTGAAGGCTACTATGTTTTTAGTTGATTAAGTTCTGTCTTTTGCTATCAGCAGTTCAATGGCACAGTAATTGTCTTTTCTGATAGAGGACAGAAGTTAGATTTTGGGCTCGGCGCCTATAGCTCAACCGGCTAAGGCGCCAGCCACGTACACCTAAGGTGGCGGGTTCGAATCCCCAGCCCGGACCCGCCAAAACAACAATGACGGCTGCAACCAAAAAATAGCCGAGCGTTGTGGCGGGCGCCTGTGGTCCCAGCTACTTGGGAGGCGGAGGCAGGAGACTCGCTTGAGCCCAGGAGTTGGAGGTTGCTGTGAGCTGTAATGCCACGGCACTCTACCCAGGGGGACAGCTTGAGGCTCTGTCTCAAAAAAAAAAAAAAAAAGAAGTTAGATTTTGGTCTAATCAGGAAACCAAAGGCCAACTTCCCAATCCCCGAGTTCGCCAGACAGGGCTGGGTGGAACCTGTGTGGTTTTCAGAACGCTCCTTCCTTTCCAAACCCTCAGGAGCCACCCTTCATACTAACACCGTCTGCTCCCAGTTTAAGCTGAGAAATGCTGAGCAAAGAAAATGGAAAACAACAGAGCAGACAGTGAATTCACTTTCCAAGATCTAAACAGAAAAATCCAGAGCCGGACAGGAGGGGGCAGCCGCGTGGTCTGAGGAGCTCCTCAAAGGTCAGCAGGAGCCTGCAACGCGGTTTGCCTGGTCGCTTTGGCCTCTCACCTTCCCACATTTTCTGGCCTGACGCCCCGAAACCCGAGCACTTGTGACCGCGCGAGCCACTGTAGGTGCTGAATGGAACGGTCGTTCCTCACCCTGCCAACCTTTCACTCTCTGCGTCCTCGCAGGCGCCTCCTACAAAGGGCTTTCCCGGCCCCGGAGTCGCTGGAGCCTCCGGGTTTCACAGATGGCGAGCCCGGGTCGCGGAGGGGGTCGCGGAGGGTGTCCCGGCCGGGCGCCCGGGGACGAGCAGGCTGGGGGGTGGGGGGAGCAGCAGGTGCCGCGAGCCTCGGCTTCTCACCTGCGAGGGAAGGCGGGGGCTCCCTAGGGTTCCCCATCCCCGCTCCCCGCCTCGCGCCCGCCCACCCCGCGTCCGGCCGGACCTACTTCCCCGAGCCGCTCACGCCCATCACCAGCAGCGCGTCGGGCGCCGCCATGGCCCAGGCCGCTCTTTCCTGTCGCCTTCCCCGCCCGGCCCGCCCCGCTCTCCCGGCGCCCCGAGAGTCTGGCCCCGCCCCCCCACCGGGCCGCAGCCGCGTCCGGGGCCTCCCCCCGTCACGCGTCCCGCCCCCTCCCCGCCGTCCTGCGTCCGCAACCCCTCGCTCCTACGGGAAGTGCAGCGCTCCGGGTCTGGGCCGGAGGGAGCGCCCGGGGCCCCTCCGCCTGGCATTTTCCTCCTCCGGCCTCTCTCCGCTGCAGGGGAGCCTCAGCTCGCACTGCCTGGCCGGCCCCTCCTCCACCCATGGATGCAGCATTCATTCATTTATTTTTAAAAATGTTCTTGTAAATAGCATGAGCAGAAAATGTTCTGAAACCAGGCAGCAATAAGCAGCTCTCTCTAGAACGACCTCCCCTCCAGTGTAGGTTAGATAGGTATGAATATTTTATGACGTTGGGATCAGGCTGTACAGTGTTTGGTAACCTGGCCATTTGTCACGGTAATATGCGGGGGACGTCTTTTAGTGTCAAACGTGATGTTGGCCAAATATAGGGTGACACGCACAATGGCTGCAGGGCTCTGCTGTTTAATTCTGCCCAGAGGACCCAATAGAAAAAGAGTAAATATATAAACAAAAAAAATTTTTTTTTGAGATAAAGTCTCACATCATCACCCTGGGTAGAGTGCTGTGGCAATAATAGCTCACAGCAACTTCAAACTCTTGGGTTAAACAATCCTCTTGCCTCAGCCTCCCAAGCAGCAGGGACTACAGGGGCCTGCCACCATACCTGCCTAGTTTTCCTATTTTTAATAGAAAAGGGGGGGGGAGCGGTCATCTCACTCTTGCTCAAGCTGGTCTTGAATTCCTAAGCTCAAGCAATCCTCCTGCCTTGGCATCCCAGAGTGCTGGGATTATAGGTTTGAGCTACTGTGCCCAGCCTGAATAAGAATTTTATAGGAGAGGAAACACAAACGGTCCAGAAACACTGAAAAAAGTTTAACCTTAACCTAATCAGAGAAATACAATAAAAACCATGAGCTAAACAATTACACGCTCATGGTTATCATTCAAATGAATGATAAAACACAAATATAGTCTAGCAAGCGGGTGGGGGGGGCGATTGGCGGGGGGGGGGGACATTTGGTGAGATCTCACCTAATGTGCACAATTGGAGGCTGTTCAGCACACCCCCCTGGGTGGAGGGGTCTTTTACAACTTGAGCTTTGCTTTGGAAGTGACAACAATGTAACCTAAAAATTTGTACCTTCATATTAATATGAAATAATAATTTAAAAACCTGTGAGCTACCATGTATATGCCCACTAGTCTAGAAAAATCAAAAAGTGGAACAGTATCCAGCTCTGGCTGGAGTGTGAAGTTGAGAATGCTCATCTTCTGCTGGGGAAAATGTTAGCAGTGATCAGCATCACGACTCTGGGAAAAGTTTGGCATGATAGAGTAAAACTAAATATGCATGTATCTTACAATTCTGCAATTCCATCCCTAAATTTATACACCACGAAACATGTATACAAACGTCAAGAAATCTTGCTCATAACAGTCTCAAATTGGAAACAACCTGAATGTCCATCAGTGGTGAAGTGGTTTCATACGTCATGGCCATTCAAACAATGGAACACTATGCAGCAAATAAATAAATGAATGGATTATAGCCCAGCTATAAAGCTTGTCAAAGCCAAGATGCTTATCAGAAAAATGAAAGCTATATGATTCTCATTTTAAAATGAGAAAATTTAAAAATAAGAAAAGAAATATATTTGTAGTCAAGGAATATATACATGTATAATAAAACTAGGTAGGGAAATAAGAGAGTGATTAACCTAAAATTCAAAATGAAGGATGTCTGAAAGAGGCATAAAAGGTCATCTCGTGAATTGGTGATATTTTATTTTCCAGCTGAGACATTGACCACACAGGTGTTTATCTTGTTTTATTTCAAACTATGCAGCTGTATTTTTTATACTTCTATATGTATGATATATCTCGCACACACTGATTTGGGATCTTTGCTACCTCATTTACAGATCCAACAGCTGTGAGTCACCCAGGGAAGTCCCTCATGCTGGCAGAGCGGGAATGAGTAATGTCTGTACGCTAGAAATCTAAATTGATCTCGACCCGCATCTCCTCCAGCCCAATTTACTCCCTAACTGGCCGCTGGTGTTTCTGCTGACATTGCACTTGATAGTAACTACTCTGACAGCAACCACACTGCTCAATACTCCTTCACTGATGTTAGCTTGTGAATATTTCCTATTAAATAAGAATTATATTTTACTTGAAAATGAAATACACTTTAAGACAAAACAAAAATACCCCTTTGCTTATCTTTGATGGAGTGTATATCTATCTCGTCTCTGATTGGCCAGTTCATTCAGGCAACCCTTTGAATGATGACATGCATTACCTACTGTCATTTTTTAATGCACTCCAAGTACATTTTCTCTTATCCCATGATCCACACAATAATGATGATAGTTTATATAAGTACAAATTCCCCAAACAACTAAGCTTCTCCAAATTCTCCCTAAGTGGAAGACACAATTACACTTCATTACTCTTATAAAATAGCTTCTTCTCTTTTTTAGTCTCTTGAAGAAAAGTTAGCTGGCTGATCTTGGGGATCAATCCAAAGTATGCCTTTTAAAGCTTTTGCTCACATGGTGCACATTTTCTAAATTTTTTTAACGATCAATTTCTTTTTAAAAATATTTGTAAATGGTTTGGATTCATTGAGGGTGAAAAGAATTAGGTTATACCGATTGCTTTTGTTAGATAAAGTTGCTCTCATAATTGTGTACTGCCCCCAAGAGGTGTGCCATACAGTGTGACCCCCTATCCCCTTACCCCACTTGCTCACTCCCCTACCCCCCCTTGTATTAGCTTAGCTACTGCCTTCATATTAGAACTGAGTACATTGGATTCTTGCTTCTCCATTCTTGTAATGCTTTACTAGGAAGAATGTGTTCTACTTCCATCCAGATCAATACAAAAGATATAAAATTTCTGTCTGTTTTAACGCTAAATAGTATTCCATAGTATAGATATGCCATAACTTGTTAATCCTTTCCTGGGTTGGTGGGCATTTAGGCTGTTTCCACATTTTGGTGATTATAAATTGAGCTGTGATAAACAGTCTAGTGCAAATGTCCTTATGATAAAAGGATTTTCTTTCTTCTGGGTAGATACCTTGTAAAGGAATTGCAGGATCAAATGGGAGGTCTAATTTGAGTTCTTTGAGGGTTCTCCATATTTCCTTCCAAAAATGTTGTATTAGTTTAGGTCAGGAGTTTTGATTTGCATTTCTCTGATGATTAGGGATGATGAGCCTTTTTTCATAGGTTTGCTAGCCATTTGTTTTTCTTCTTTAGAGAAGGTTCTATTCATGTCTCTTGCCCAGTGATATATGAGATTGTTTGGTCTATTTTTGTTGATTAATTTGAGTTCTCTGTAGATCCTAGTTATCAAGCTTTTGTCCAATTCATAATATGCAAATATCTTTTACTATTCTGAAGGTTGTCTATTTGCTTTGGTTGTTGTCTCCTTAGCTGTATAGAAGCTTTTCAGTTTAATTAAGTCCCATTTGTTTATTTTTGTTGTTTCTGCAATTGCCGTGGAAGTCTTCTTCATAAAGTCTCTCCCCAGGCCGATATCTTCAAGTGTTTCCCCCACATGTTCTTGGAGGATTTTTATTGTTTCTTGTCTTAGATTAAAATCTTTTATCCATCTTGAATCAATTTTTGTAAGTGGTAAGAAGTGTGGGTCCAGTTTTAGTCTTTTACATGTGATTATCTAGTTCTTCCAACACCATTTATTGAATAGAGATTCTTTTCCTCAGTGTATGTTCTTGTTCAGTTTATCAAAGATCAGGTGGCTGTAAGACGTTAGTTTCATCTCATGGTTTTCTATTTGGTTCCAAATTTCAATGTCTCTATTTTTGTGCCAATACCATGCTGCTTTGATCACTATGGTCTTGTAGCTTAGCCGAAAGTCTGGTAGGATGATACCTCTGGCTTTTTTTTTTTTT